GACCATAGATCTCCTTGATCTGCTCGTGCATGTTGATGGCTCTGATGAGGAGTTGAGCGTTAGACTTGATTTTGATTGAGGTTAGGCCCAGCAAGAGGTCGTGGTTTAAAGCTTCTCGGATGGCTAAAGCTTTGGCAATCAGAGGACTGTTCACGAAGGGGATGGTAGATCGGTTCTTAGTGATTTCAGATCCGCCTTCTTCAGAGAGAATCCATCCAATTCCAGCAGTTTTGATGTCAGCCCTCCAGGCACCGTCCGTGAAACAGACGATGGATCCTGGTTGATGTAGAGGGGTCGGAACTGATGAATGGGAAGGGTTATTACCAGGTTCAGGGGTTTGGGCAAGCTGCCATTCTCTCGCATCCGTTAATGCTTTTGTGATAGTGTCTTCTGGTGAGAACCGTCGCTCTTCAAAAAGGAGGCTGTTTCGGGACTTCCAAATGGACCAACAGATCCACGGAAAGATTGGACCGATTCCGACTCCGGTCGGTGGAAGGCACTTCGAGAGCTTCGAGGCAATAAGAGCATCAGTGAAAGAGTCCATTTGGTATGGCGTGAAATCAGGGTAGACAGGAGCGAGATCCCAAACTCGGCGAGCATACGGGCACTGGAGGAAGAGATGTTCAGGAGTTTCGAGATCTCCACAATGAACAGATCCTGGATCCTCCATGATTCCTCTGTTGAGTAGGTGTTCACCAATTGGGAGGGCTTTCTGTATAATTTTCCACATAAAGACCTTCTGTTTAGGTGGGAGTTTTGTTGACCAAATCTCGGCGTTCCAGTTGAGTGCAGGTTCCTTAATAATGGGTCCTTCCTCAGAGGATGACATCGCAATGTGGTAGCCTGTTTTGGAGGAGTATGTGCCTGAATAAGTAGGTAGCCAGACGAAGGAGTCCTTTGCACCTTTGGAGCTTGGTTTGATGCTCAATATATCCGCGAGATAGTGAGGTAAGATTTCCTTTATCTTATCAATGTCCCATTATCCACTATTACCAAGGAGTAGGTCTGAAACCTTCATGTTACTGGTCGATTCAGTTGCTGGTCCCATCGGTGCCATCGGATGTTCCAGAGAAAGCCAGGGTTCAGCCCATATTGAAGTGTCACATCCATTACCAATGGATTTGCCCAACTGCTTGAGGAGGAGGTCTCTGCCGATGAGAAGGCCTCTCCATCCGTGGGATATAGATGCGGCCATCGGTACATCGAGGAGAGAAGTGTCCGGGAAATACTTGCCTCGCAGAACTCTAGCGAGAAGGCAAGTACGTTTTGAGAGGATACGCCATGTTTGTTTAGCGAGCAGAGCGTCGTTAAAGCATTGGATTTCACGGAAACCCAGACCACCCTCCTTCTTTGATCTGGAGAGTAGTTTCCAAGACACCCAAGCCATTTTCCTTTGTCCATGTTTCGAGTCCCACCAAAAACGTGTAAGTGCTGATTGGATCCTTTTGCAAAGGCTAGTTGGTAATTTGAAGCATGACATGGAGTAGGTGGGGATTGCTGACAAGACAGACTTCAGCAGCGTGAGTTTTCCTGCACTGGAGAGGAATCTGGTGGACCAGTTGATGGATCACTGTCGGATACGGTCAACTATCTGGGTGAAGAGATCCTTTTTTCTTCTACCAAAGCTTTCAGGGAGGCCCAGGTATTTCCCCTGTCCCCCTTCCTTTGTTATTCCAAGAGATTGCATTACTCTGTCCTTGATATCTTGGGGGGTCTTCCCCAAAAAGATGATGGTTGACTTTTCTTTGTTAATCATCTGGCCGGAGATGGCGTCGTACTTGTTTAGGATATCAGTCAGTGAGGAACAGCATGTGGGAGTAGTCTTGCTGAAGAGCATCTTGTCATCAGCGAACAGCAGATGGTTCAGGAGCGGGCTTCTTCTAGAAATACGGATGCCTGGGAGCTTGCCATTTGATTGAGCTTTTGCACACATACCAGAGATGACCTCTCCGCATAAAATGAAGATGAAAGGGGATAACGGATCCCCCTGCCTGATGCCGCGTTGGGGAAGAACCAGACCTTGGGCTGAGCCATTGACGAGGTAAGTGTAGGAAACCGTGGATATACACTGGAAAATCCAGTTTATCCATTTCCGGTGGAAACCTAGTCTCTCTAAAACCGCAACTATGAAACTCCATTCCAGCCTATCATAGGCTTTACTCATATCGGTCTTAATGGCCATTGCACAGTGTTTCGTTGCTTTTGATCCTTTCAGGTAGTGCAGGATTTCATGAGTGAGCAATACATTGTCCGAAATGGCTCTTCCTGGGACAAAGGCTGACTGGGATTCAGAGATGATACCCTCCAGAAGTGGTTGTAGCCGACAAGTAAGGATTTTAGAGACAACTTTGTAGTAAACATTGCAAAGAGCAATAGGTCGGAACTCAGCCACCGTTTTGGGACTTTGGACTTTCGGGATTAGCCGAACGTGAGTGAGGTTGATAGATCCAAAGAATCGGCCAGAAGTGAAGAAGGACTGAATTTCCTCAGTGATTTTATCTCCCACCGTTAACCAATTTGTTTGAAAAAAGCTTGCAGGGAAGCCGTCCGGTCCAGGAGCTTTGTCAGGGTGGATGGAGAAGAGGGCAGCTTTTATTTCACTCTTTGATGGAAGTACAGTGAGGGCCTCATTTTGAGTCGGGGATATGCAAGGAGAAAGGGCCTGAGCTACAGTTTCCTCACAGTTTACCGATCTTGTAATGAAAAGATCTTGGAAATATTCACTGATAACTTGCACTATTTCATCTTCTTCATATACAGGGACGCCATGCTTGTTTTCGAGGACTGAGAATCTGTTGAGGGCCCTTCTGCCTCTGGTCACAGCGTGGAAAAACCCTGAGTTCTTATCACCCAGATTTAACCAAAGAGCTCTACTCCTTTGCTTCCAGTATTCCTCTTCATCTTTGTAGGCCCATTGAAGCTTGGAGTTGATCTCCTGGAGTAGGGATGCGTCATGAATAGGTGAGGTCATAGCCTCCTCCAACTTTCGTTTTTCTTCCTGGATCACCTTTTAGCTATTTAAGTGGTACGTTCTGTTCCATGCAGATATGGCAGATCTACATTTGGCTATTTTCTCTTCCACTGTGTCGCTATGGTTCTGGTTCCAGCAGCTGGAAACCAGGTCAGTGATTTCAGAGTTGGTCCTCATGCGTCTGTCATATCGAAATAGGTTTTTCTTTTTTGGCTTTGTGTTGTCTAACCAGGTGATGATGGGTCGGTGGTCGGAGCCTTCAAATTCAAGGTACTTGCAGCATCCTGAAGGAAATAGTTCTACCCAAGCACAATTGGCCATAGCTCGATCAAGTCTGCAGTGAACGAGGTGGGAGTGGCGTGTTCCTCTCCAAGAGAGGAAGTTCCCAGAGTGGGGGAGGTCATACAGATCATTCTGCGATAGAAAGGATATGAACTCAACAAAAGAACCTTCGGCACGGGTTCGACCACCAGTTTTCTCAGAGTTGTCGATTATATCATTAAAATCTCCAGTGATGAACCAAGGGGAATCACGGGTAGCTGCCAGAGAGGAGAGAGTAGCCCAGATTTCCCGCCTCTTGGAATGGTCCGGTTCTCCATAAAGGAAGGTGGTAACAAACGTTTTTGCTTTGTATGTTAAGGATGATTCTATGAAGTTTCCACACAAACTGAGGATTGTGATATTGATGTCTTGTTTCCAGAAGAGTGCAAGGCCACCACTCCGACAGAATGAGGTTTGACGAAGAAATGAGAGTATTGGTCCAGGAAGTCCAGTGTCTTCGTCATGAAGGGCTCATCGTTTTTTGTCTCGGTGAGGAAGATAATGTCTGGAGTTAGCTTTTGGTGTAACTCCTTCAGGCGGTGAACTGTCATGGGATTCCCCGCCCACAACAGTTCCAACTGAGAATCGCTAAGGAAGAGGGCCTCCCGGATCCCGAAAATCCGAACTGTCCTTGCGATGCGGGGAATAATAGCGGTTGGCGGAGGCCGTGATCTATCGGGGTTCGTAGATCCATCATTCACTGGGGGCAGAGTGATTGCTCTAGAGGATGAGCTTTGGTTGCGGTGGGTGCCCTGGTGATGGTTGGAGGAAGATGGAGATGCACGGTGCCGGATCATTCTTGAGAGGGGGGATATTCTTGTCTGGTTGACTTTTTTCTTTCTGGCCCCTCCTACTACGCCAGAACTGGTGGCATTTGATGGGGCTTTGTGTGCTGTTGGTGGTCTGCCTCGTTTCTTTTTCAAAGGGCCAGGGGAGGCGGGAGCATGAGAGTTAGGGTGAATAGCAGGAGGAGCACTAGTCAGAGGAGAGCCAGCCGGGGAGTTATGTTCCGAGGTCATGGCGGAAGCTAGAAGTCGAGCAGCCGTCTCAGCCATAAGTCCATACGATTCACTTTCAATGACTCTCTGAAGTCGGGCCGCGCTTTCTACTGGATCTCCACAGTTGATGTACTGGACTGTAATGCCATTGTTACTAATTATTGTATATTTAATATTTATTTAAATCTGTTTTCAAATACAAGAAGACTATTCAACGGATAAAATAGATGTGGAAAGGCAAAAAAACCGAAATTATGAGGAACTATTTCATGTGCTTCTGGTAGAGAACTCATCAGAGGCAGAAGACACAAGTTATGCATACATTAATATATATATATATATATATATATATATATATATAGTGTCGTATTATCGATATACCAAAAAATAGATTAGTTTTACATGTACTTTCATATTGTTCTCATCTGTTTCTAACTATCCAAGTATTTAATCTATGAAGAAAAAATTGTTAAAATCAGAAAACTAGTAAGGTGGGTACTGTGAGTTGAATCTAGGCCTTTTTCTTTCTGCGAAAGAGTTTAACAATGTCGACAAATAAAACTATGACTTCATTGGTTTTCAAATTCCACTAAATAAGAGATCTTGTTATATATTGAGATTAGTTTGTGGATTCGAATGTATATGCATGCAATAATACTAATGTATATACTTTAACAGACTGATTTTTTTTGGCTCCTTATATGTTCTCTCTTTTCAGTCTTTTGTGTTATATAGGTTATGTAAACAACATTGTTATTAAATCAACCATTTTTTTTCTTTTTAACAAGGGAAAGTCGAGATTAATTTTCCATATTCTTCCTTTATCCTGGATCAGCAGTTGGTAATACCTGTTAATAACGTGTAATCCATCATTCTCTAGAGCCTATTTGAACTCGGAAAAAAGGATTAAACCTTCCCTCCAAAGGAATCCTTGGAACCAATTGAGCTATGTATGAGATTCTTCAACCAGTTCAAGCAGCATATGTAAACCATGAGTGTAAAAAAGACATTACAATAGTTAACGTAATAGAGACTTTAGTCTTTAGAATCGTCTATACTTAAATGTCTTAACATTGATTGTTGGCTAATGACTATTCCAGTAAGAAAATGTATTAAGAAATCAGGCACGATGACTATAATTTTTTTTCGTTGATGCACTAGAAGATTTCCTTGATTGTAAAAAAGATACTCAATATACTATTATACAAAGAAGCATTAAAGAGAGATTAGAAACTGGCTAAGTTGATTCATCTTCACACAAAAATTCACTCCAAGAAGAGAAAGACCAATAGAAAAACAACCCTACGGAAACTAAAACAATAAAGAGATGGGGACAAAAGGATCATCTGATGAAAAAAAAATTAGGAGAAGAGTTTGATTTTCAGTACCCGGTCGTCGAAAGTGCCAACTCCTCAATTAGCTTCTGCTGCAACCAAGCTAAGTCAAAGCATACAAAGCTATTTACCTGTGGATATATAAACATATACACGCTTCACACAATAAATTAGCATTACATTAATTAAAAACCCTAGAATATATCTAAACTATGTGTCATGTGACCTTACCTCGACTTGTATAGTGTGCATGAGCCTCTCATTGACTCGTGCGGTTAAAGAGCTAATGACTTCAAGTCCTTGCTCGTGAAGCACCTCAAGAACCCTTGAGAGTGGCCAAGCCTCAAGACCTGATACTGAGCTATTCACAACCACCTCGATGCCACTCACGCAGGTTTGCACCATGACGCTAGCTGGATCCGATCTATTTGACCCAGATCCAGATCCGGTTTGACTACTAGGGTCCGAACAAATCGGAGCAATCTCTCTCTTCATCTCGTCTCTTCTTGCGGCTAGATCTTTTATCCGTGTTTGCGTGTCCTTGATGAAATTTACTGCTCCGTTTACATGATCTGACATCGCTCTCTTTCCCTGCGAAGAAAGAGAGCTAAAAACCTGTCAAAACTAAACCCCTATAGCAAACAAAATACCTCTCATCAATGACTTTGAGAGGGAAGCTATGTATTTAGTCTAATGAGTTAACAGACGAACCTTTATGTATTGGAGAGGTAGTTGACTACGAAGCGAGGCAAAAAGGATGGCCATTTCTTGTCTTCTTTGCCGTTCGATGTTGCGATGGAGAAGTTTTTTCTCCTTTGTTGTTTCGTCTCTTTCGTGAGACATATGACTCTGGTGCCTTGTCTTTTTAGGAATATTACAAGGATCCATGGGATATGAGATGTTTGGCAATGGCAGATCTCAGCAGGATTCGTGGTTTCTCTTATATTTTAGTAAACTAATTAGGTTTTATAGGTGACTCCCCTTAAATTATTGGGTCTATCTTCTTTAATCATATATTCATGGAATGAAGAAAAAGAAAGAAAAAGAAGACTTTATACCAAATAATGCAGCCTCGGGAGTAGTACTTTTCTTTAGTCGTATATATTTTGGTTTAATGCACTAGTTGCACTATTTATTACACGTGACAGAATTTTATGGTTTGTATGCATAATGTTTTTGTAAGTGTATACTATAGTATAATACTGTACTATCTTTTATCAGAACTTTCAGAGTTTTCTAACGAATATATATTTCATGCGGTATATAAGTGCTGATTCATAATATTTTATAGGTAAAAAATGTTGTCACACCAACCACTAAATTAAGCATGTCTTTTTTTTTTTCTTGTTAAAAATGTAAATATCATTAAAATTAAAATTAATGTTTAGGTCTTACAGATTGCTTAACCTATCAAATTGGTTATATGGCAAAAACGAGTAAAAACATGGAACCAAAGACAACTCAAAATTCAGTGCATCAACAGAACCATATATTAAGCAGGGTGTCTGAGAGTTAAAAAGTAAAGACTAATTGATGTTGGATATAATGTTGGGAAATGTTTCTGACCTGGATCTGATCAATGAATATCAAGAAAGGGGGAAGATGCCAATAATAATGGAGGTGCTAGAATCCAAATAGATCACTAAAGAGAAGCAATCCCCTTTTGAAGATCCAAACATATACAGAATTGACTAAAAATTGAGTCGGGAAGGTTTCGAGTTCGAATACCGAATACATGGACATGACCAATATTTTACGAGGCACTAAGATCCACAACAATGTTTATATACCTCTTTATTACATCGAAATTTTTTATGCTTCATCAACAATATGATATAGTTTGTATATTGTGTTCATTCTTCTTCCAAATACTATTGCATGTGATTTGAAGATGACGTGAACACAATCAAAATCTAGGTAGAACTATTAGACGGTCAATGTAGTCAAAAATATTTTAAAGTATTTAAATATAAATAATGATGTATTTTTTTAGATTTTATGAAAGCGGTAAAAATTGTGAGGGGTTACACTGGTACCTGCGCTTCTTAGACAGAAAAAAATTGAAATCTAATCAATTTATCTACTGTGATAGTGGACGGTAGAATCCAAAATAAAAGCTTTCAAATAGATAAAGAGGTTGCTTGAATTAGAAAGTTTGTCGTTGAATTATGTGTGGTTAATTTCAACTAAGTTTTGGCCAAACAAAACTTTATAGTGGCAACAACGAAACCATTACTATGCAAATAACTGAATAAGAACCTATTCATGTACTTAAATGATATAATTTCGTTCAAGAAACTTTATACAGACGGTGTTGCACCCATAAGTACATAGTATTGATGAATACAGATGTTGTCGATTTTCAACCATTTTTGTACGTAGTCTAAGCACAAGAGTGGTAGTGCTGTCATAAGGATTAGATTCACAGTTTTACCGGAAAACAAAAAAAAGATTTAGATCTACAGAAAATATGATATCTATTATAGGGTATGAGGTTCTTGTATATAGCATACATTTGAGTATATTATTAAGAGACTCTATCTTTAATAAACTTGATTACAATTTGATTACAGTCTGAAATATCTTCAAGTCAGAATAATATAAAAAGATATGCAGTAAAACTGCCGTCAAGGAAGACAAATTAATTATAGTGTATGAGGTTCTTGTATATAGCATACATTTGAGTATATTATTAAGAGACTCTATCTTTAATTAACGTGATTACAATCTGAAATATCTTCAAGTCAGAATAATATAAAAAGATATACAGTAGAACTGCCGTCAAGGAAGACAAATTAATTAGTGGGGATAAATTATAAATAGATAGGATGAGTGAAGTGGAGTGGAAACTAGTTAAAAGATAAGACAGCTCAGACAATTTTGGGACCAGATTGGAAGAGGAGACAACAAAGATCCCTTATCTAGATGGAAACCAGCTGCTTCAGATTTTACTCATGGATCCCACTTTCCCAAATTATTTCGAGGATGGTACCACATTGTGTTTTTTTTCCCCACAGGTACCACATTGTGTTTTATGATTGTATATATGTAATTTCATTACTATTCGGACGTTTCGCTTCTCCTTCGATACGTATATGTAGAAAGTAAATTTAGAAGAGACAAATATTGCAATGTAAGAAAACGATTTAAGACAGAAAAAAACGTTTGATAAAAGCGGATAAGGAAAAACGATAAGTGGAGGTGAGATGATATTTTTCCTTAATTCAAAATATCTTTCGCAGTGTGACGGTTGGATGAGATAATGAATCTCAGGATACAACCACAGATATTTGTATAATCGCAACACCCGACTATAGAATGTATGAACTAAAATTCTACGATATACTTTCGGACGCTTATTTTAAAAAAAAGAAAAGAGACGCGAGAGATTGAAGAAAAATGTGAACGATTTTACTCTGTAAAATTTTGTGTAGAGCGATTGAAAAATGAGAGAGGAGAGGTTGATATATATAGCGAAGGAGAGAGGAGCATAACACGTAATCAGCATGTTAATAACATGATTAATTGTGTGCTAATGATGTGATTTGGGTGTTAATTTTGACATAATTTTCGGGATCGACATTTGACTGCAGTTTTAATGTCGTGATTCTGTAGGAATTTGAACTGAAAATTTTAACAATTTGGACCAGAAATGTTGACCAAAACGTAGCCCAAAAAAAATATCTTTTGTGGACCGAAGATCTACATTCACCAAAACCCAAGACACGAGCCCAAACCCGGCTTAACTCGGCAGCGGCAGTGGCATGCGAGGGGTCTTTGGTTCTCCTTCACACATTTTGAATTATGTCACGTGTGTGTTTATATTTATATGATTCTAAATTTTTTTAATCTTTTAATGTGGAATAAAATGATTTTGCTCACAGTTTAAATTACCTTAAAAAACTTTATTTGTATTCATATTTTAACCAAAAATACAAGCTTGTGGACTTTATAATTATTGGGTCCAAACAGTATGTCATATACTACATTATTCATATAGAAAACAAATCAAAACCGATATTACGTTTTATTCTTTTTTTTTGGTTAGCGTGTATAATCTGGATTTCGGTTTGCTTTTCGATTATTTTTTTGTCGGTTTATAAATGGTTATATCCAAAACTAAACCTAATATGATTGTTTGGTTCAGATTCGAGTTTTACCGAATTACATTCTTAATTTTCCAAAAAAAAAAAATCAGTTTTAAATTGGTTTTTCCTTTTCAGCTTAGTTTGTTTTCCAAATTTTCGGTATTTCAGATAAAAAATAAATTTCTTTGTACCATATTATAATTTGTTGATTTTTGGATAAGTTATTTTGGTTCAAATCGGTTAATCCGGATTGAACACCTTAATTTGAATGGGTAAGCTTTTAAATAACACTTTGATTACGTTCACAAAAACATACGGTGAACAGATCCGAACTAAAACTACATATGCAAACGGAAACAGAAGTTTAGCCGATTCATTTTTGATAATGGCTTGATTTATCTCTTTGTCTTTGATGTTGAATATCATAGGCTCATAACGATGATCACATTCAATTGTTTGAGAAGAAAAAAAAATTGCTTTGTTGCAATCCTCAAAATTGTTTACATCAGTGCTCATAAGAGCATATATATGATTTCAATCTTGCTAAGAAATCCTAGTTACTTGGATTTTGTAAATTCGTATTGGATCATAAGATGGATGAGTTAGTGTTGGACCTTTGTGTATGCTCCAATACATATAACTATAAAGTACTAATTCGCGTACTACAATAATGATTTGTCGATCTAGAAACAACTAAATGAGCTAGACACAAAAGATCCACATATATACAAAATAGATGTGAAGTGAACACAACACAACTATACAAGTACAAATAAACTACGTACTTATATAAGTCGTTTGCTTGACAAGTTAAGAGAATCCAACTCAACAACAATTTACTTCATTCTGGTTAATCTCTCTTCAAGTTGTGCTACGTCAATCAAGGTCATATCGCTGACCTGCAAAACAAAACAAGCCATAACCTTGAACTCTCAAACATATCATAACTTTAAAGGGGTAGTAGTATACAACGGATGAGATGTATATTCTATTGAAATGTATGGCATGAAGCCATTTTCTTTGGATATCCGTAGAAAAAATCAACCAAAATTTTACTCCTTTAATTGGGTATTTTACTATTTATATAAACTCATGGCGGCTATGAATATCACCACTTCTGTGAACATTTTCTTGAAACATATATGAGCATATCATAGTAATGATTTCTTCTTTTCACATATTCGATGCTGACGACAGAAAGAATATATATCTATATATATATATATATATATGCTTACAAAACGTCTAGAATGGAATTAAATCTGGATATATTTATATACATACTAATACTAGCTAGTATTTTAACATTTTCATGATTACTGTGACTTCAACAATTATTCTCTGAGTGTGTTTATGTTTCAGTTTACATGTTATAAAAATTGTGTTTATCTTTATATAAAACCACAACATGTAGTGTTCTGATGAAAAAAAATATTACCTAAACACGAAAACCAAACGCAAACCAAAAAACAGACAATAAAAAACCTCATTTTCATTTTGTATTAATACTACATCTTTTTAACAAATTCACAATTATATTGTAACATGTAAATGCAAACGCAAATATGAAATAATTGTATTAAGTAAGAGTAAATATAGGTTTACTCAGCATGTATGGTGTAAATCAGCCTATCATCAACTATAGAAGAGATGGAGTTAAGAAGGCAGAGACCATTCTCACAAAGCACTTGAAAAACACTCGAAAGCTGCGGTTGTCCACCGCAGCAGCGGCTGCTAAACACGATTTCAACTCCCACCAAGCACTGACGAACCATCACATGATTCATCATCTCCATCTCATCTTTAGAATCATCCAAGAAGCTTCCTCTAGACAGTAACATGAGCTCATCTCTCCTAGAACTAAGCTCCTTGATCTTCCTCTGTAGATACTTTATGTAGTTCACCGCCTCATTCACTTGATCTGAAGTCGAACGCTTACCCTTGAGTGACCAAAAGATCCCACCAACAACAAAAGAAAAAAACCAAGAAAGTTATAAATCTAATTAGGAACCTTTTAAGAAAAAAACACTAATTAAGGAACAACAAAAAAAGTCAAAGCAACACTACTTATGATCCCTGATCCTTCACGGAATACCAAGTCAAAAGACGAAGATTTTTGAGTATAGATCTAAAGGAGCGATCAAGAACCAAATTCAAGATTAGGGTTTTTAGGAGTTCGGGAAGTGACCTGAATAAAGTTAAGAGGGAGAAGAGAACGAAGAGAGGCATAAAGAGAAGCCATTTCTTGTCTTCTTTGTCTCTCGATTTCTCTGTGCATCATCTTCTCACTGTCGTTATTATCAGTACTTACTCTCAGCTTCGTACATCGTCTTCTCTTCTCCCGACAAGCGTCCATCTCCAAAAGCTTTATTGGTCTTAATTTAATAGTATATATTCCCCCTTGAGAGAATATTTTCTGATGATGATGATTCTGAGACAGCAAGATGTGATCTCCTGGTATTTTGTGATCTTGGGTTTGATCTTAGTCTTTAGAAGAACAGCTCAGGGCTTTGATGTAAAGTTGAAAATAATTGCAGTCTCGAGGATTGAATAATAAAAAGAATAATAAAAAATATATGTTTGATAATCTTATATATAAAAGATAGCCAACTCTCTTTATATGAGTGCCACTTCAGCATTTTAGAGTTAATATGGAGATGACATGTGTCAATTTTTAATTTAAAGTTATAATTTTTAAATAAAATTAATTATTAAATTTTAATATTAAGTTCTTAACCACTCAAAGAAAATGAAAAGTTTTTTTTATTAATTGATTCTTAATTAACATTTATATAAATATTAAACAAAAAAAGATGCCCAACTCTCTCTATATGAGTGCCACCTCAGCATTTTAGAGTTAATATGGAGATGACATGTGTCAATTTTTAATTTGAAGTTATAATTTTTAAATAAAATTAATTATTAAATTTTAATATTAAGTTCTTAACCACTCAAAGAAAATGAAAATTTTTTTTTATTAATTGATTTTTAATTAACATTTATATAAATATTAAACAAAAAATTATGTTATAATTAATTGAAAATATTGATGGTTTTTTTGTATAAAAACTTTTGATTTGTTAATAATATGAAAAGTTTTTTTATTAATTGATTCTTAAATAACATTTATGTAAATATTGAACAAGAATTTATGTTATAATTAATTAAAAATATTGATGGTTATTTGGTATAAAAATTTAAAAATTTTAATGATATTGCATTTAAAATTGATTGATTTATAATAATATATCAATTGATTATTATGTTTTTTTTAGAAAAAGAAAAAATATATAAATTTGAAGTAGTTGAAGAAAAAAACCAGCAACATTATGTGCGGGGTATTCACCTAGTTTTATATATAAAAATTGTTCAACTTTCTCCATATGTTTGACACATCAGCATTAGAGAGGTTGACAGTTGTCAATTAAATTTCAATTAATAAGTTTTAATATTAAATTTTAAAGCACTTAAAGAATATGAAAATTTTTATTTTATTAATTGACTCTTAACTAATATTTATATTAATATTAAACAAAAATTAATGTTATAACTAATTAAAAATATTATTAGATATGTATTTAATTTTTATATAACTGTAAACTGCTTAATAATATTCAAGATGTATTTTAAATTAATTTTTTAAAATTATTTATAATAAAATACTAACAAATAACAAATAAAATGATGATTATATTAATTTTAATTTTTTATTAATTGATTATTAATTAATATTTTGTAAATGTTAAAAAAAATTATGTTATAACTAATTAAAAAATATTGAATGATATTTAGTAATTTTAATATAACTTTAAATTATTAAATAATATTTAATATTTATTTTAAATTAATATTTTAAAATTTTGTAGAATAAAATATTAATAAGTAAGTAAGTAATAAGTGATGATTATATTAATTTTTATAAAAATATAAAAAAAATTGAAAAAATTGAAAAGAAAAACCTGCACATAACGTGCAGATATTCACCTAGTATTATTTAATTGAAGAAGAAGATAATTTGGTTAGACGTATCAGAAAAAGTAGTAAAATAACTTAAAATATTGTTAGGGTACGCACGCGGTGTAATGTCTGTCTTCCTCATTCACCCGATCTTCAACCTTCTCTTCCGAGATTCCATTATTCTTTCTTATTTTCTTTACAAACTTTTATATATTCTCAGTACTCCACACCAATTTCTAAAAAAAAAAATACCTACCTGAAGTTATGTAATGTAATGATATTAGCAAACGCTATACTTTAAGCTAAAAAGATTTATTGACGAGGTCTCGAAAGACGTTTTTGTAGTGAAAAGATATGTACACCTGAAACTTTTGTTGTTGATTTTTTTTTTCTTGCTAATAATTTTTTGTTGTTTGTTTTGGGATAATTTTGTACTTCTAGGTTCCGTTGTGTTATAAAGGCCAATACGGCAACACATAGATGATCCAATTATATGACTCGGAATGTTACCTGAAAAAAAGGAAGTGGTCGGTGGTCTAACGGTATTTGGGGGTTTCTAATAATGTCATTTTCGACTTCACTTAGGAGGGGTGATTTACAACTGGTATTATCAACGGCTGGTTTTGGGCACCAGCGAAGATTATGGGTCAAATTAAACTTCTAAGGTTTATATAAAATAAATTGTTAAAGATTGAACGTGGTGGTGAGTCTGGTGACTATTGTATTGAAAAACAATCATACTTAAATATATATAGTAATTAGTAACTAATAAAAAATGAAAATTTTTTTAAAAATATATATACAATCACAAACATGCATGTTAAAAAACTCTTTTGAACAAAACTCTGTTAAGATTCAAATGCTACAGCCTACAATTAAGCCTTTTTTTAATAGGAAAGGGTTTTGATTCGGTTAAATTACAAATGTGATCTCTAATCTCATGGTTTTCTCTTAACCGGTTAATTTCCTTTGTGACTTTACACTCTGTTTCACTCGTGTAAAATACTAATATTTTGGAACATCAGTAATTCAATTGTTGCGCGACTGGGAGCTCTTTGGTCCGAGACGATGGAACACGACAAAATCCTGACCTTTTTTCTCTCCGTGATGGAGAAACAGATCCGACCCATTGTAGAGGTATCCATGTCCGTTGCTTTTGATTTATTCTAGCTAGGCTCAAGCCCCAATTTTAATTAGAATCGAGAAGTGCAATTTGGAAAATAAAAAACTTTTAAACTCTGCCGCTGATGAGATATCGGTTCATTCAAGATTGGAACCATGTAAGAAAAGAAGAGTATTTACATATGTGAGATAAATGGCAATTTTTTTTAAATAAATTACGTAAATTGAAAATGATATAACATAAAATACTTTTTGACAATTTTATCATCCATTTTTTCTTCCATAACGTGTTGGTTGGATATCCATTCATCCAACCTGGTTTCTTTTCTACAAGCACTCGACCTCTATCCAATAAGATATTTTTTTTTTCTCTTTCATTTTTTGTTCTTTCTAAGCTCACAAACATGGCAAATTAAGCTTTGAAACTTGATTTGCTCAAAGTTTAATCCCTAGAGCTACTCTGCAAGAATACATATGTGCAGTTGTAATATGTAGGGGTCGAACTACAAAGACGAAAAATTCACTCAATAAACTCTATAGGCTTGAATTACGCTAAGCAAACACAATGAAATTAAAATAACAATGAAAGTAAATCGGTTGTAAATTCGATGAAAAAAAATAGACTCATGGTTTTTCTCAGAAAATCAGAGAATACAGATAAATTAACTAGTCAGGATTCAGGTTAAACGCGATTCTTGAACTCAAATCACGAAATTATAATTAACCAACTTTCGTTGCAAGAATTATCTAAGTCTAAATCCTAGAATCCTAAATTTCTTTGCAAATCCTAAAGATGTAAACTAGCCTTAAGTGCAGGTTCGATATGTTCACAAAATATCTAAACCAAATTTCTTTGCGGATAGCTACTTTGCTCACCTTAGATTCTTTCCAGTTATTCAATTACACTTTCGTATCAATCAATTAACCTAAGATCTAAGTTCTAGGTGGCCAGTCCAGAATTAGCTTTAAGAACAACCTATGGTAAAAAACTAATCAGATTATGAACTTTAACTAGCAAATCAATGTAACATTCAATGAAATCCTTTATGAGAAACCTAAACCTAACAAGAAAACTACTCTGACATGTAGATTGAAACAATGAACATGTTTCAATAGATTTCAGAAAAGAATAATGAGTTTAAGAAACAGGGGTTCGAAATCTTCTCTCAGAGTCTCAGGCTTGTCTCCCCTGATGACACCGTATTTTGACCACTTTTATGTATCATAATAATGTCTTCTGCATGTGTTTTAACTCTGTTTTCAATGTTTTTAAAGTGTTTTCAATGTTTTAGAGTTTCAAAAGACTTTACAGGAAACTTGGGCAAAAGATATGCAATTTGGAACAAATCAGCAATTTTGGATAAATGCAGACCGTCAGAAGTATGACAAGCGATGAAGACCTTCTCACCGTCTGATCACCCCCAAAATTTGAGACAACATAGAGGATCCAACCAGCTTTCTAATGCACTTGATTTGAAAACAATCCAACGGTTAGATCTTCAGATACTCCCGATGCAAGAATGACAGAAAATGCAGTTCCGGAAGAGAGCATGAGCCGGGACCGCTGCCAACACCCATTTTCCCGCGGGTAGAGCCACCGCGACCGCGGACATTGGTCGTTCACTTTCCCGACGACTTAATTAAAGCCCAGATCAATTCCTTTCGTTATTTTTGAAGCCCTAAGTGTCCAGGATCACCCAGAAGCTATAAATACCCTCTTTAGGTCATTCTAAAGAGGCAGAGACCGAAACTAGTAGACAAAGAGGAGAGAGAGATTTTCGTGTAACCCTAAGGGGGAGCTGCCGTCTTCGAAGAAGGAGGAGCCGCCGCTGGAGTGCAATCATTGCGCCTCCGTCCGCTTCTCTGTTCTTCGTTTCTCTTCCTTGTTCTCTTTAATTTCCTGCACTTTCAATTTCGTTTATGATGCTTTGTTACAATATGTTTGAGTAGTTACCCAGTTGGGTTTAAATGGATTGTTCAAAGGGAATTTCATGTGTCTTTGCTTATGAATCGATAGATTTATGATTTATAATCCTCTAGATGTTCTTCGTTTGCCTTTAATCTTACTGCGTGATTCTTTGCTGGCCACTTAGAAGCCGATCTGATATGATATGTTGCGAAAGCTTTCATTGATTGTCTGAACTAGGGTGAAACGAGCAATTTTTTTATAGGAGTGGAAACCTACCTGTAGTTGAGTTGTGAATGTTGATGAGTCTTGTTCTGCTATTGCATCTTCTCCATTCCAGGATCAGAGTGGAAACCTACTGATCAGGGTTG